GCCAGCTTCGTATCTCTTCCCTTTTTGCCACCCTCTCCCAACAGACAGAGCGGTCCAAATACAGCATCCACAGGGCTGGCTTTGATTGAGATGTTCCAGGGTTTGTCAATACCGCGTTGTTCCTCCCAAATTGATACACCTGATTCTGAGCAACTTCAAGTCTGCTCAGATTTGTCTATGGAGATTCTCAGTTCTCCAGGTCATGGTTGTCCCAAAGGTGCTTTTTTTTTTTTTTTTTTACAAGAGACCACTAAACTTTCTGGTTTTTCTCTGAAGACATTTTGCTTCTCATCCAAGAAGCTTCTTCAGCTCTGACTGGATGGTCCTTTGGATTTGGACTTGAGTCAAATGTTTGCAGAAAGGGGAAAACAAACTCAAAAGGCCGTGTGAAATAAAGCCATCTTATTTCTTTTATCTCATTTTTCATTCGAAAGAGCAGGCGTACAGCCTTGGAGATAAGAAGGATGTTATGGCTCCTTAATCAGTTGCAACTCAGGGGAGAGAAATGTCGGCCGGTGAATAAAGAATACCTCTCTTGAGAAGTGCAGGATCCTTCCGGCCAGGCGAGAATCTGATGGAGAAGCCAAATGAAAGGCTCTGGCCACAGGCTCTCCTCTCGTAATTCTGTCAGGGATCTGTGATGTGCAGAATCCCAGTGAATCAAATTCACTGCAATGGGGGCAAGCAGGGTGTCCTGCCCCTGGTGGAGTCTGACTCTGAGGGAGAGAAAGAACAGCCAACAGGGAGTGGAGGTGTGGCTCCGGAGGTTGTGGAGGAGGCTGGGGAAGGGCAGAGGCCGACTGGGCAGTCAGAGGAGGACCCAGGCCCATCCCCTCTCCATCCTAGGGCACGCAGGGAGGAGAGGATAAGGGAGAGACGTGGTCTACTCGGGAGGAGAGAGCCTTGATCCTCTTCATGGGCTGCAGCTGTGACAACTGAATAAGAGGACGGACATGCGTATGGGCGAACGCTGGAAACAAAGCATGGAAATATCTCTAGCTTATGATTCCTCTCTGAGTTTGGCGTCCTTACCAGTGTGTGTTATCTATGGGCGTCCTCCAGCCCTTATCTTGCCTGGTTTGTGTTGCTTTTTTCCTTCTTCTTGTAACTGTTTGTGTGGGAGTTTTTTTTTGTCTTCCATCAAGAATATTCGTAGCTTGGAAGCAAAGTGAAGGAATAAAAGGGGCTTCACCTATTTTCTGTGACTGTGTTTGTTTTGTATTCCCCCTCCGGGTCATCACACAGGGTTGGGAAAAGACATCAATCGACGGTAGGGTTCCCGAGCGAGACTTGGTCTTCTTCTCGGGCGTAAGACAGATGGAATTATTTTTCCCTCATCTCTTCGGTTACTCCTGCCCTACGCTTCTTTCTGATGGGGCTGATTAACAACATCGTGGAGACCCCAACCCTGATGTGTTACTGCCAACCGATGCATTTGCGGCTGAAAGTTTTTGGTGTGGAATTGGACAGATGGCTGTTTTCCTTCGAAATAGTTCTATTAGGCCTTGTTGTGGTTCGCCGGCAGCCGGTGTGGATGGCAGAGGTTTCCTCCACAGCCACCAGAGCCACATATCCATTCCCTGTCAGCTGTTTGACCTCCCCTTTGAAATCAGATTCCAACAGGGGCATGGCACCTAGTTACAATCTCTGCAAGTCATCAATGGAATGCACTCTCAATTCAAACTCCTTCCCCCCGCCCCCTTTCTGTTGGCCATTTTAAAATGGGCAGAGAAATGTTTTATGAGTTGACAAGGAGATTGGCTCGACGTCCTCATCTGACAAACCTAAGAAGTGGGCCATAAGTAGCATTTCCATCAGATTCCCTGCGATGTAAGTCTCTTGGCCAGGCCAACAGCTGTGCTTCTGGAGGCTGCCAGTTTGATTTACCAAAATAGACTCCATGATGCCGTAGTGTGTATCTCGTGGCTCTCTGTTTATAATCCACAGTGTGCCACCAGCGGTTTCTTAAGGAGTGTGTTTTTATTTTTATTTTTAAAAATTGAATGATAGGGTTGTCATCATCAGAACATTTTTCTCGACTTGCTTTCCTTCTCCAGAGTGAAAACCTCCGAATGAGTCGGGATGTGTCTCATGGCAGTTTGCTATCTGATGTCGCTGTCACACCCCTGAGTCCCAGTCAGGATGAGGTGTTTTGGAGTCTGTCTCAGACTGAAGAACAACCCCCAAAGGTAATGAAATTTTGGAAGAACCGTCAGAAGAAAGAGATGATTTAAAGTAAGGGTGTATTCTAGGAGGTCCGTAACTAAGAACTATCACAATATTTCTGGGCCATCCCATTATTTTTTTTCAAAACATGGTCCTGTGGCAAGATTTTCTAGCCCATAATAACTCTGGATAGCCCTGACAGCTATAATCAATAAACCAGCTTTAAACAATTCCATGTTGGGTCTTGTAGACTCCCTGTTTTGTTTTTATTTTTATTTTTTCCCCTCTTGGAGGTCTTTGCTGGGCAAGTTTAGTGTGGTACCCATTTAACAGATTAACAGAGTTGGAAAGGACCTTGTAGGTCATCTAGTCCAACCCCCTGCCCAAGCAGGAGACCCTACACCATTTCTGACAGATGGGAGTCCAATCTCTTCTTGAAAGTCTCAAGCAATGAAGCTCCCACAAACTTCCGAGGGCAACTTCTGTTCCATGGGTTGATTGTACTCACTATTAGAAAATGTCTCCTTATTTCCAGGTTGAATCTCTCCTTGTTCAGTTTCCATCCATTATTCCTTGTCTGGTCTTCAAAGGTGCCTTGGAAAATAGCTTGACCCCTTCCTCCTATCTGTAGTAGCCCCCTCAAATATTGGAAGACTGCTATCCTGTCTCCCCTGGTCCTTCTCTCCACTAGACCAGCCGAGCCCAGTTCCTGCAATCATTCATCGTATGTTTTAGCCTCCAGTCCCCTCATCATCCTGGTTGCTCTTCTCCGCACTCTTTCTAGAGTCTCAACATCTTTTTTATAGTATGGTGACCCTAAACTGGATGCAGTATTCTAGGTGTGGCCTTACTAAGGTCTTCCATCAAATAGCCAGGGGAATTCTGGGAGTTCAAGTCCACACACCTTAAAGTGACTGAGGTAAAGAAATGCCGATATAGACAGTACTACAAAAAAAAAAAATTGCAGATGTAATCAGTTCTGACTTTCCTGGGCTTTTAATCTTTATAGGTTCCTCAAAGGACAACCTCTACGTTTTACACCAGAGATCAGTGTGGGCAACAGAGTTTCCCTTCGAGGTGGGTGCAATTCCTTCTCCTATCGATCTGCATGCAGCTGAGCAGTTTGTAGTCTTCGAACAAGTGTAGCTTCGGTCCAAATTTCAAGAGTCCTTTGCGAGCCAACAATTCAGAATTTCAGCAGGACCAAACTGTCTTCTGCGGGAGCCTATAGTGTGAAGACTATAAGAGAGGGATGGAGGGAGGAGAGGGAAAGAGAAATGGAAAAAAGCTAAAGGTGAAAGCAAACCAGTCCTGGAACCCAAGAAAACTGCTTTGTTGCCATTTCCAAGACCTGAGCTTGATTCATTGACATTTTTTTGTTTTTAGCTAGAAGGGGGAAGGTGGTAACTCTGTTCTGATTTAAATTTTGTTCCAAGTCGGGGAAGAATTTGAGGATTGTAATTCTCACCTGACATTTGAGATGAGCATTATAAGCCTCCAAGGGTAGTATTTCCAAACCTCTGTGGTCTCTGCGGGATTTTTTGATAGTTTTAATGGAAATGTTGTTATTGTGGTTTTAGACATGTTAGTCTGGAATTGGTTATCTCTTTGAAGTATATTGTAATATGGAATGAGTTTTTATAATGTTAGTGGCTGACTGTAATCTCTTCTTTCTCCTTGCCCTTGTTTTCTTTCTCCTCCACCTTTATCTCCTCCTCCTCCTCTTCTTCTCATCCTCCTCCTCCTCCTCCTCCTCCTCCTCTTCTTCCTCCTTCCCTCCTCCTCTTCCTCCTCCTCCCCTCCTCCTCCTCCTCCTCCTTCTCCTACCACCTTCTCTTTGTTTTTGTTTTTGTTCCTGTTCTCTTCCCTCCCCTCCTCTTCCCCACCTTCTTCCCTTGTTTTCATTTTTTTCCTTCCTCTTCTTTCTCCTCCTCTTCTTCCCCTTGTCATTCCTCTTTACAGCTCACATCAGCCACTCCTGGGGGATCCGAAAGCGAAATCCAATAACAGCTACAAAGATTTCAATGGCAACAAGCCAAAGGACTTCAAGTCCCAGCAGAACAGCCAATTGATCTCAGGTAATTTTTGAGTCACGCTTTAGACTATCTGGATGATCCAACCAGAATTTAAGGTTTCCCATGCCCTAGGAAAGAGAATGTGGGAAAGCAAAGTTCTAGGAGAGAAAAGGTATTCTATTACTTATGTTTGCTTGCTAACTGCTTTCCTCATGCTAGCCCCATCTTACCATGACTTTATATGTGAGTGGGTGAACATCTGCACTCTAGATGTTTTTATTAACTGCAGGGCATGCTCAAATCCAGAGAGATGCTGTTGGTGTTTGCAAAGAATTAACTGGTTGTGATTTTTTCTTCTTCTCCATCTTCAGCCTTGGCCTTTTATTTTACCCAGCAAGATATGTAAATTTGTCAGTCAGAAGAGCTGGAGGGTTGCCTTAAGACAGGAAGGAGAATATTTCCATATGTTTTACATATGGCATGTGGCAGAAATGCTCGGAGCTTGGATGGAAATGAGTCAGTGCGTGGAGGAGACAGAAGATTAGGTTGGTGGGATCTTGAGGTCTCCTGGGCTCTGAAGTCAACTGGTGACTTCAAATAATCCCTCCTCTCCACCTAACCCAGGTCAATCCTGTGTATATTTTTGTGTCTGAACCCCTTTGAGAGTCTGGGAAAACCTACAGACTCTTTCTCAGAAAAATATACTTAAATGCATTGGTTAGAAGACCAAGCTACAGACTGTGTGACAGAGGAAAACAATGATACTCAAGCATAGTCAAGCTATTCTCTAAAGCAGGCAGGACAAGACACAATGGATGGAAACTCATCAAGGAGAGAAGCAACCGAGAACTAAGGATAAATTTCCTGACAGTGAGAACAATTAATCAGTGGAACTCCTTGCCTCCAGAAGTTGTGAATGCTCCAACACTGGAAGTTTTCAAGAAGAGATTGGACAACCATTTGTCTGAAGTGGTGTAGGGTTTCCTGCCTAAGCAGAGGGTTGGACTAGAAGACCTCCAAGGGACCTTCCAACTCTGTTATTCTATTCTAAAATATTTTCTAAAAACAACAAATATCTTCATCAGTTCACTGAGCCAAGGACAAAATAATGCCCTTTTTAGGGTATAATAATTTTAGAATGTGAGTTTCATTTTAGTTGATAAGTGTTTTTTTGGAGTGCAGAGGCCATAAACTTACTTTTTTTGCTTAATGAAAAACTAAATTTCCGTTAGAGGTTAGTAAAAAAAATTTTTTTCCTCTATCCAAGTTCAGGGAACTTCTTAATTTGTTGATGGAGCCCAGGTTAGGAACCATTGTTTTTAGCATACCTTAGCTAAGTTAAATTTGCTCAGAGTACTCTCTTTTGAAACTTATCTGGTTTTGCACTCTAAAATGTCCTTGAAATAGCATAGAGGAGTTGTAAAATAGCACATTGATATATATATATATATCAAATCCATTTCATAAAACACAATAGCTTAGGATGAAAGAACCCAGTGAAGTTTCTTTGTGTTCTTTACCAGTTAAAGTACAACAAATATGTGAGACACAAAACGCATCTGTTTGGAAGTGAAGAGCAGTTGAACTGTATTGCTTTGGACAATTTGCTAGCAAGTGGTTGCCTGGGGCAATCTATAGACATCTTAAGATGCAGTGCTCTTATTTAAATGATTAAATAATATGCATGCATCAGTAAATATTTCTCTTTACAACCTCCAGAGTCCTCCAGAATAGACAACAGACATCTCCAGTCCTGTAAGAAACCTGAAAATACATCTCGTTCGGGCCAAGTTTCAGTAAGTTTTTTTCTCCTTATACCTTCTAATTCTTCTACGGTTCCTGCTACATTATTGTTCTTTTCTGGTCTCAAGGTTAATTTTGGTACTCCTTTTCTTTTAGTTCCATTAAAGTTCTTTTCTTTTCTTTCTTTTTTATGGCTTCTACTCTAACCCCTAATGGATGCCTTTAAAAATATGTATCTTTAACATGCTTCTAAATGCATCAAGAGGTGCTACCGAATCACTTCCCTACTGCTAATGAGGATGTCCATAAAGTCAACTAATGCAATCCTGAGTTGCATTAACAGGGGGATACAATCAAGATCAAGTGGGGTATTAATACCATTGCATAAAGCCTTAGTAAGACCACAGCTAGAATACAGCATTCAGTTTTGGTCACCACACTATAAAAAAAGATGTTGAGACTTTAGAAAGAGTGCAGAGAAGAGCAATCAATATGATTACGGGACTGGAGGCTAAAACATACAATGAATGGTTACAGGAACTGGGCATGGCTAGTCTAGGGAAGAGAAGCACCAGGGGAGACAGGATAGCAGTCTTCCAATATTTGAGGGGCTGCCACAGAGAGGAGGAGGGGGTCAAGCTATTTTCCAAAGCACCCGAAAGCCATACAAGGAATAATGTATGGAAACTGAACAAGGAGAGAGATTCAACCTAGAAATAAGGAGAAACTTTCTGACAGTGAGAACAGTCAACCCGTGGAGCAGAAGTTGCCTTCAGAAGTTATGGGAGCTTCAACATTGAAGGCTTTCAAGAAGATATTGGATTGCCATTGGTCAGAAATGGTTAGGGTCTCCTGCCTGGGCAGGGGATTGGACTAGATGACCTACAAGGTCCCTTCCAACTCTGTTAATCTGTTACAACTGAAGTCAACCTGGGCTTGACTGACTCTTTATCCTTCGTCTCCATCTGTTAATTAATCAGATTAAGTGTCCACTCTGTTTACCTGTCTTTTATCAAGACCCAGAGGAGTTTCGTTTTCATTGTGCTTTGCTTGGTATGATGTGTTGGGTGGTTCAATGTTTCTGAATATTCAGAAGACGGGGTTTCGGTGTTGTGCCACACAGGACAAGTTAAGGCTTATTATGTTCCTTCCTCTTGTATTTGAGAGAAGAATGATGGAGAATCCATCACGTGAGAACATCCCACTTGGTTAAAACAAGTGTCTTGATGGGGATTAGCGTAGTGGCACTCTCAGACAAGATGTCGACTCTGAACATAAGGACTTCCTTTGAAGTCATGACGTTGGATCATCAAGTTGATTCTGAGCTGCTCTTCAGAGCTTCAGAAGGCTCTTCTGAATTTCCCCGAGAAAGCCCAGCTCTTCTGAATCTTCAAAAGAAAACACCAGTCCTTAAATATCTGAAGGGAGACTTTCATTTAAATACAAAGATTTGTCATTGGCATATCCTAAATCAGTCCATGGATTGATCTGGAGACCAGCAGGGAGCAAAGGGATGAACTCAAATCATGAGGAATGGTGAGGTGACTACAGATAATCTTTGACTTAGAAAAGTTTTATTAGTAACCGTTTGAGGTGATAATGGACCATAAAAATGGAGGAACAATGGGTTCATGTAATGACTGTGGTGTTTGTTTTATGGCCACTGCAAAAGTGGATAAAATCAGGCCTGGTTACATGGTGACACACTTTACAATTCTCAAGGCTTACAACTCAAATTGTGGACTCAGAGTCATAAGTCAAGGACTACCTGTTCGCTTAAAAATGGGCCTTCCCAAATAAGGGTTCTGTTTGTTGTCAAATATTTATTGTATTTTTATTTACGGTAGCTTGCATTCCAATCTATTTGGGATTTTTTATCCTGAAGGCCAAGATGGAAATACTTGTAATAAATCACGATTAAAAGAGAGGCTAGGAGAGACAGAGAGACAGTAAAAGTAAAGACTTCTTTGAGGTTAGCTCAACTCCTAATCCTTTCATGGCCAGGCCAGACAACTTGTTCTTGCCAACATTGCAATATTTTATTTTATTTTTCTATAACATATAAATATTTATAATAAAGGTATGTATTTAAAGGTGGCTTAGATCAGGGGTTGCTTTGTGTCAAGGCCTCGTACATGCTCAAGTTTACAAACCACGTTCCTCTCATTCGTAGAGCCCAGCTTTGTGGAACAAGGAGAAAGTTGGCAGCTATCTGCTCCGGAAGTCTCTAGAATATTCCTCCTCCAGCGACGAAATCTGCAGCAGCGACGAGGATGAGGAGGGTGATGGACACATAAGGTTGGTTCTCCCAATCTTCAGCCTCCAGCTGGGAGGTATATCTTAGTTATCCCGTGTCAGCAATGAAGCCATTTTTGAAGGATGCGTAGTTTTGACTTCCCACCATGATTTTACTGGGATGTTAATAGAGCTTGGTGCTTACGGTGGCTTTGACTCTGTTCTTTTAATCGATTGATGGTCTGCTATGCTTAATCTTTTGTTCACCCTCCAGAGTTCCACAGGTAGAAGGGTGGCTACACCAATTGGATTGATAAATAAATGAAAATAGAATGGCGTTAGAGGAGTTTTTGACTTACAAACATTTGTTTGGAGCAACAATGGCATGAGAAAAAAAATAAAAAGTAACATGACCAGTTTTCACACTTATGACTGTTGCTATATGATCAAAATTTGGACACTTGGCAACTGACTCGTCTTTATGACGGTGATAGTCTTCCAGGACCACACAATCTCCATTTTGTGACCTTCTAACAAGCTGAATCAATAGGAAAGCCAGATTCACTTAACAACCAGGTTGCTAACTTATTACATGTGACGATTCACTTAACCACTGAGGCAAGAAAGGTGTTCTGACCCAAACCTTGTTCCAAGGAAACAAACACCAAATGGAGGTAACAGCAAAACCTTTTAATGATTCTTTACGAATTCCGTTCCTTCCCGGTTAAAAGGCTGCTTTAAACTAATTGTCTCGGATAAGAACAAGCCTGCCAAAGTTGTGCAAGGCTGCCAAGAACACAAGATAAAGTTACTAAGAAATATTTCAAATACGAAGAGTTTCCAAACACCAACCAAGATAGTCTGAACATCCACAAGGCTTGAGTCCAAAACCTCTTCGCTTCCTGCAAAGAACTCCGGTTTCTCAGCTGACTTTTATCTCTTGAGGGAGGGGCAGCCTTACTCCCGAGTCACCCATGCTGCTGCAGCTGCTCTTGCCTTCGAGCAGCCCTGGGTGCATGTGCACTGGGCACAGGCTCCTCGGGGGCCTCTTCATCACTGCTGCCAGCCTCCATCACCTCCAAAGGCAGCACCCCACTCCCTGATGGTCCTGGCCCCATCCCTGCATCACATGCAGGCCCCTCATCTGAGTCCTCGCTCTCCGAGACCTCAGCCGTCTGCACCTGCTGCTGGCGAACCACAACATAAGGTCATAAAATGGGAGCAAAACTTAACAAACGTCTCACTTAAGAACATAAATTTGGGACTCGATAGTCATCCTAAGTTGAGGACTACCTGCATTACATTAATAAAACATACGAAGAACAGCTGCAGGTTTTGGGTTTGGCTAGTCTAAAGAAGAGAAGAGTTAGGGGTGGCATAATAATAGTATTCCAGTATTTGAGGGGCTGCCACAAAAAAGAGAGGGATCAAATTATTTTCCAAAGCACCAGAGGGCAGGACAAGAAACAATGGATGGAAACTAACCAAAGAGAGAAGCAACCAAGAACTACAGAGAAACTTCTTAACAGTGAGGACAATTAACCAGTGGAACAGCTTGCCTCCAAAAGTTGTAGGTGCTTTATCACTGGAGGTTTTTCAGAAGAGTCTAGAAAGTCCCTTTTCTACTTAAGCAGGGGGCTGGACTAGAAGACCTCCAAGGTCCCTTCCAGCTCATTCATTCCATTCTATTCTATTTCTTGACTCTGCTTTCTTGTTGGCCTCCACGACAGTTTTCATCTGTTAAAAAAAAGGGGGGGACACGAATCCCTTAAAATTCCAGAGTGGAAATATCAGCAAATGCCAGAAATGATGTTTTGCTGTGCATTTTTTTATTATTTCTGAATGCCTGCCTAATTTCCAAAAAAGAAAAAGAAAAAAAGAAATCAAATAACTTCAGTTCAAGGAGATAGGGATGATCAGGTGTCCCTTGTCCTCCCATCATATCTCAGATTTGACACATATTCCAGGTGGCGTCGGTCCAAGATTAGATACGATGAACGTTACATCTTTTAATTCCCAGGCGGAGGGTCCTGCAATTCCGAGCGGCATGTATTTGGATGCAGCTTTCAACGGGTTTGGGTTTCCTTACAATGAGCCCAGCTGTCGGTTCTGACCTTTCCTTTTTGGAAATAGCTGCCTCCGCACAGAATGACGATGAATGCGCTCTTTCAAAGGTGCTCGCACCACCATTTGCAAGCTGCCCATCTGGGCATTACTCGGAGGAGACGAGGCTCCGCGTGATCAGAACGAGATAGGATAACAAAATGTGCCAGGTCTTTTTTGGGAGAAAAGCTTGAAGTGGGCAGGGGTGGGCTTCAAAAATTTTAGCAGCAGGTTCTCTGCCCGGTGGCTGGGTGGGCGTGGCCTAGTCAGCCTCCTGCACCAAAGCAAGGAGGGGGGGTGTTTTTTGTCCTCCCCGGACTCCGGAGGCTTTCTTTGAGCTTCCAGGAGGGTGAAAAAGGGCCTTCCCGGGGCTCCAGAGGCTCTCTGGAAGCTGGAAACGGGCCCATTTCTGGCCTTCCTGAACTTCTGGGAGGCCCATTTTTCACCCTCCCTGAGCCTCCGCCGTGCCCTGCACTTACCTGCATCCAAAACGGGCCACGTGGGGGACTCCTAGGAGGGGAGGAGCGGGGAGGGGTGGTCAAGGCCAGCCAGGAGTGGGATTTGAGGGTTCTCCGACCTGCACAGCAGAAGCTCCCGAACCCATCCGAACCCCCAGCAGCCCACCCTTGGGTGAGGGGAGATGAAAGGAGAGAAACACCATTTGCTTAAAAAACTTCCAAATTTATATCCTGGGGGAAAGCAGAAGTTAAATATGAAATATTATGCCTGTCCTGTACGGAGAGTTCTTGACGTACAATATAGTTGGTTGACTGGTCATTCAGAGTTACAACGGCACCAGGGAAAAAAGGGACTCAGGATCACTTTTCACACGTAACGACTGTTGTAGCATCCCCAGCTGTCTGCAAGGAATATCAGTCCTTCCATCCTCCACCATTCAGTCAGAGCTGAAGAAGTTTCTCGGAGGAGAAGCGAAAAGCCTTCAAAAGAAAAAAAAGAAAAAGACAGCCCAGTTGCCTCCTGAAGAAAAGTACTTTTGGGATATGAATGATTCTTGGATGCTGCTGTTTTTTCATGTTTTTATTGTGTGTGTGTGTGTGTGTGTGTGTGTGTGTGTGGTTTTCCTTTGGCGTCTTTCTTGGAGGGTCTTTTAAAAATGCATTGATTTTCCTCTCCTTCTCCTGCGCTAATTGGAATTTGTTACTAGGCAACTGCTCGGCAACGGAGTGACCGGCTTCTCAAGGGCAGGAGTTGCTGACGGGATCGAGCTGAAGTCTCCCTGCCTTGTAGCGGATCGCCAGGTAATTCTTTGCTAGGGTTGGGAGAGGAATCCAGTGGATGGGTCCCCCCAAATTATTAATAAGAATAAGAATAAGAATAAGAATAAGAATAATGGAAAAGTCATGTTCCCTTCTGCCCAGTTAGCGACTTAGCCTCACTCCCTTTTTTTCAAGTGTCTGCTCACATTTTGGTTGTACAAATTGGCTTTCCTGATCTTTGAGAAGAATAGAATAGAACAGAATAGAATAGAATAGAATAGAATAGAATAGAATAGAATAGAATAGGAATAAGAATAGAATAGAATAGAACAGAGAAGGAAGGAAGAAAGGAAAATAGAATAGAATAGAATAGAATAGAATAGAATAGAATAGAATAGAATAGAATAGAATAGGAATAAGAATAGAATACAATAGAATAGAATAGAATAGAATAGAATAGAATAGAATAGAATAGAATAATAAGAATAGAATAGAATAGAATAGAATAGAATAGAATAGAATAGAATAGAATAGAATAGAATAGGAATAAGAATAGAATAGAATAGAATAGAACAGAGAAGGAAGGAAGGAAGGAAAATAGAATAGAATAGAATAGAATAGAATAGAATAGAATAGAATAGAACAGAGTAGGAATAAGAATAGAATAGAATAGAATAGAATAGAATAGAATAGAATAGAATAGAATAGAATAGAATAGAATAGAATAGAATAGAATAATAGAATAGAATTAGAACAGAGAAGGAAGGAAGGAAAATAGAATAGAAAAGAGTAGAGCAGAGTAGAGTAGAGTAGAATAGAATAGAATAGAATAGAATAGAATAGAATAGAATAGAATA